GGTCTTTATAATAGGGATCTTACTATATTAGGGATCGAAATATATATTTTTTAGTATTTTTCGATAAAAATATTATAAATATATGAAAATAAAAAGTATTAATATTATGAGCATTCGGAATTATTTTCATCTAGAATATATTAGATATATTCAAATGATATTTTATAGATAAATAAATAATATTTCTATTTATACAAATATAAGTTTTTTCTTATATGATATACAACATTCTAAAGAAAGAACAATCAATATATTATATTAATATATACGAGATATAGAATATCTTCGCAATTTTAAAATTCTCTATCTACGATATAAAATCGCTCGCATAGATTCTATTCTTTATATTCTCTTCGAGGTCCCATTTCAAATATGAGCTTCAAAAAAATTCGATACAAATATAAAATGAATATTGAAATAAAATGAAATTATAGTTAAATATAAAATATTGCAAATAAGGTATGTTATTTATCATATAGAATATTAATGATATATAAATAGAAATCATAATAGATCTTATTAATAATATAAATCGAAGATTTCAAGAATATATGACGATCTTATATTTTATTTATTCATTATATTCACCAATATCTTCAATATATTATAATATTAGATATAATCGTCATTAAAAATCTAACAAGAACCAAAATATGAAAAAAGAAAAAAATAAACAACATATTAATTCAGAACTCTACCACATATATATATATTTGTAATCTATTTAAGAGAAATACTAAAATAATATATTTAATAATTTCGGTTGCGTTATGTATTTTTTAGATTCAGTGTATTTAATAATAATCCATTTATATATGGACGTTGCTTTCACACAGCCCTAAAACCCCTAGGAAGCCTGNNGAAGCTCTTAATTACTTAGTTATAATACTTCTCCTGCTGCACATCCGCCGCCGCAACCCGCCCTGTCCTGTGTCCCTCGGGAGCACCCCCCTCGCCCTCCTTTGGACCGTGCTAATGCTGAACCTGTTCCCAGCTCCACAGGCGTGTTATGTACCACTTCCCCGGTGCGTCCTCTAACCCGTATGTAAATATGCCTTCGCGAAAGTTCCGCGTTGGTTTTGTTTCAGTTATTTTTTCCGTGAAGAAAGATATTCAGGGATGAAGTAAGTTAGATCAATTGGAAAGGACTAGTTTAGGGCGTCTTAATCTTAAGGGTTGGACGTTAAAAGAAGTCCTCCTCTTTCTCCTAAATATAGAGCCCCTTTCGCCAGCCACTCGCGAAAGACACCAATAATATCCATTAGGGAGTGAACTTAATCTAACTACGTCGACTTTAATACTACTTACGCGAAACTTACGCGCTAAATCCTATACAAGAACCAATTTTTTGGTTTTGTCCTTAATAATAATAGTAATAATAACAATAGTAGTAATATAGCAACAATAATAGTATTAGTATTAATATGAACAAAAAGAGTAATCGTATTAATAGTAATGTTAATGGTAGTAATAATAGTAATAATACTAATAATATTAGTATTAGTACTAGTAATCGTAATAGTCTTAGTAATAATAATAGTATTAGTAATAATACTTAAAATAATAGCACTCAATTAATATAGTAATAATAATAATCGTAATAATATTAGTACTAAAAATATAAATACTAATAATAATAATAGTAATAATAATGGGTATAATATAGCAAATAAATTAATCAAAATAATTCTATAAAAAAATTATTAATTTTATTAAAACCAACGCCAAATTTTCGTAAAAATCACATTTAACCCACAATTATCGGTTCATATAAATTATATCACAAGAGATTTTAAATCAATATTCATATATAGATAATAACGATATCATAGAAAACACGTATCTAAATTACCAGAAATAATATCAGAGAAATAATAATTAGGCCCAAATATCTTGTAGAATTCTCTTCTATCGGCGACCCATTATAATCAAATAGAAGAACGACCCAAAATCCCAATATATTTTTTTTCGTATTCAATATTGTAATATTCAGAATAGAAATAAAAATCTTAAGAGTTCTTTTTATTTGGTATCATGAATATCCAGATGTAGAATTTTCTCGTTTTATTTCTTTATTTATTCCTATGAATCTAAAGAAAGGTACACGGTATATTATTTCTTTAAAATAGCGGATCGTGTTCGGCCTGGAGAAGAGTGTATGGCGCATTGTTGTTTCCGGAGAAAATGATCGTTGTCTGTTGGTTTCATTTCGCCGATTCACTCATAGGTGTTGATTAATAATTTTACGATTATTGTTCTTGACTTTTCCGAGTCACAAGGTGTGAAGAGTTTGGGCAAGTTGAGTAAGACCATCCACCGCGCGGCAGAGATCATTATCGGATGGCATCAAATCTTTCTCAAGCCATCTTTGGGCTTTCAGGTCGGCCGTGGCCGGCCCTTCACAATCCTCGTAGCAGCGTCGTCTTTGCCGCATATTTGGCATCCTCTGCTGCAACGCCACACAAAGGAACTGATATCCTATCTCGGGCAAAATGTTTGCAACTTTGACCGGCCAATTCCGTTGTCTATACAGCCTTGAGGTTCTGTATCGTCCTTCTGGAAAATGCCCCAACCGTCAAACCGCAAGTACTTGATTAAACTCCACTGCCCGGAAGGTCCGCACCTTCTGACATGGAACTCTTCTGAAGTTTCTGCCGCGACTCAGTTGCAGTTGCATGGTCCTTGAAGAGGAGATGCGCTCCTTGTCTCATACGATTGGATTCACAGGCATGTCTTTAATCGCGAAGGCTTCTGAGACTTTGTGGTGCTAGCATCACCGTCCTGAGAGTCCAAAAGACGCATCACACACATGCCTCTTCCTATCTCTTCCTCGCAAGACATCACACTGCCAAGCTCTGAGTCTAGTTCACTTCTCGACTGCGTGACAACTCCACATGTTTTAGGAGAACGCGAGAGTAAGGCAACCCGTAACGGTGCATGATGTACTACTCCTGAAAACCTGCTTCCGCCAAACAAGCCTTCTGTCTCAGCTTTCACTTTGTCTACATTAGGATGCTGTCCGTCACAGCAGAACCAGGGCTACCCTCCAGCAGAGTCCGAAAGCACACGCCGGACCTAGATGATCTCTTCCAAAGAAAGTGTCCCCACATGTCCTGACATGCCTGCGCTTCAAGATTACATCTTGGCCAGGTCTCTTATTTGATGTCGGCGGCCAGTGCGGATCCTGATTGCAAGTACCTGCTTGTGCAGCAGAACATGCTGAGAGAACACACGATCCCCTCCCAAAGCCTCCAACCCGCAGCTTCGAGAAGCAAGGGCTTGAAGCTGTTATGACTCTCACTCCGAGACCTTTCGCTGAGCGCTTCAAGGTGGCGTGAATTGCGTGAGCCTGGACAAAGCGGAAGCTTCAAGAAAGCTTGGAGCACGCTGTAGCTGCCGCATGCACCCGAGGCATGGCTCAGGGCGACCAATTGGGAGCTGGCAGGCTTGCCGCCCTTCGTCGGAGAAGCGAAGAGAAGTTCATCTCATGCGGTGCCTAGTACACCCAACCTAGCTGTCTTCAAAGAGTCGGCGAGTCTTCGCTGCAGGGAGAACTGAAAACCGTGGACAACCCCGGAGTGGAGCTGAAGCTGGGACAGGCACTGGGCCTCTCCGGCAAAGCTTTTGCGCGAGTAGAGGCTTCCGGGGCCGATGTAGGCGACGACCTTCCGCAGTAGCGGATCTGGTTTGGACAGCGAAGATACTGCGGGCATTTCATGGCCCCGGGTCCCCGCATCTTGGTGGACCTCTAGACTTACAACGTCCTGCCTCCTTCAGCTCAGCAGGAGCCAGGTTGTGGCAGACGACCAGGTACCTATGTGTGTCATGTTGTGGTAACAACGAGTCTCTGCTAACTCCCATACAGCACCCTGTAACGTGCTCGCGATGGCCGAGTATTCACCAATCCAACCCAGGAAACCATTTATGCAAGGTTCGAGCAGTTGTCGTCGTAGTCCATGTGTGCTGGTGTCGTGCTCGGCATTTGTCGACTGCTCGAAGGACGACTTATTCAAGTCACAAGATGCAAACAAGTCCCGACGGAGGCGAGGTGAGGTGGTCGATGCCTATGCACCGTTTGGGCATCAGGCTCATTCTTATTGTCAGATTGTCCCGAGACAAAATCCCCCGTGTCTCTGAACACAGCACAGACAGTCACTCTCGGACTTCAGTTTGCGGCAGACTGCCTTGTCACCTCTTTCTGCCATGGAGAGAACCCCCTTCCTTCCTGAACGAAAACATGAAGTCAGATCGGCGTTGCTCATCCGTATCTTGTAGCCTGGGAGCCATCATGACCTTCAGCCTTCTGACTGGGCGTCCTGTTCCTCGAAACAACCTCTCATGAAATTGAACGGATGCAAACTTGTTGTCCCCCTGTGCGAAGCGAAACCTCCACTGACGCAGGTCCGTCGAGCAATCCACATCCGTCATCTTCCCATCGAAAAAGACACAATCCAATAACGAACTTTGGTTAACAACCCTTTCTCAGTAGATTCGCCGTAGATGCCGGATTCCACGAGAAGTGGAGCACGCACTGCGTCCGAACATGAACTCGCGTCCATGCAGTCCATGATGCCCGGCACAAGATGAAACGATAGATGCAAGGATACTTCACATCGATGGATATGCCTGGTGCTCCTATCATGCCCATGTCCTCTTGACTCATTCATGCATCCATTGACATGCCACATACATGCCGTAAAGAAGGCAACAGAAATAAAGACATACAGAGAGAGGGAGCAAGAGCAAGAGTTAACTTGCGTCGCATGTACTGTTCTGGTCGTCACGTGGAGAAGCTTCTGTGGCTGCTATGCGCCTGGATTCATTGATGCCCTGTGTGCTTTGAGCATGCGAGATTCTATGCCATGCAATAACGCAGCCGAGGTGCTGCCGCTCCAGCTGGTACGTATCTAACTGCCAGCGAAGTGTAAGCATTCCCGAGAAGGTTCCACCACACAGAATCCTGAGCTGTGAAAAGAGTCAGCTTCCCAACTGCTTAGACTGCTTTGACAGCGGGTCCTGTCCCTTCCAGTCCCTTCTCTGAGCCAAGGGGCAGCCCTGAACTTGGCACATCCTTAGGAGCTCCGGCTCGGCTCAGCCCCAGGAGCAGGCCCACTCAGGATCAGACCAGGCGATGCAAAAATCCATGGTCCAGGTCCTCGCCCAAAGCTTTCAAGGATGGCTGGCATGTTGCGACGCACTCGGTAAAGGTCCGGCTGCCACAGCAGCGGGTGCTCCGCCGCAGACAGCCTCAAGCTTCCGTCTCGCAAAGCTTCAAACGCTCACCACCGCGAATGGGTTCTGATAAGGTGGAACATCACCTTCGTTGAGGTTGTGGGTGCCAATCAGGTATGCCTCCTAGGTCCTTTGGGAAGGAGATGGTTAAGATGCTTCAGATGATAGATATGACATTAACTCCCGAGATTGCGCAGATGGCCAATGGCCAGGGTTGTCCGACTGCCCGGCAGCTAGATGCACTTTAAGCTGCATAACAGCTGCAGACTGGCGACCTTTGTCTGTGAGTCGTCTCACGCAAAAAACAACGCAAGCTCTTGAATGCACACTTCTTCTGGATGCGACAGGCTAAAACACGCTGGCCATGCTCTTCATCAGCTCATTCGAGACATCTCATCTGATCTCCCCTTTCCCTCTGAAATTCACGGATCCCAGATCTGAAACCCTCTGGAGGATCCGCAGTGGCCCTCTCGGCCGATGGCTCTTGGCGCAGCCATGCTGATAGGGCCACGGGCGAGGAGGCCTGCGTTTGCCGAGGCGTTGCACATGTGCGAGCAGTCGTCGGCGTCAGGCCTTTCTCACATGTGGCACTGTTTTACAAACGACGGACCTAAGCATCAGAAGTGGATAACACCGTTTCGGGTGGAATTTTGGGGTTCTTAGGAGCTGATTCTCACAGCAAAGAGGCTGTTGAGCATGCCGACCTTACTGAGTTGGGACGTTGGACCTTAATTCGGGTGGTGTCGGGCCTCTGCGGCATCTTCCTGTTGATGGAAGGCCTTGCCATCCACCTGCAGAAAGCAGAAACACGAAGTTTAAACGCAGCTCGCGCTTGCAATGGGGGAAGTCTGAAAAAAGATAAGCTCTTCGCTCCTACACCTTCAGGAATAAACGCCCAACCAAAAAGCCCAGTGAGATATCAGAAAACTCGCGCATCACTGCCTCCCAGTCTGGCGGCTTGTGCACCACCTCAGAGCTATACGTCAAGTGACCTGAATGCACATTCCACCTCTGTGTTGCAGGGAGGTGCCCGACGATGATGCCAGGTAGCTAGGTGAGCAAGTGCGGGCGCTGCCTGAATGCAGGGTTAAAGTTGGCCGTCCACATGAAGGTATCATTTTGGGGCCTAGGATTTCCGCGCGACTCCTCCAATGCTTTGTCTAATGCTTCTGTCGGATCCAGCCGGTCTTCGGGAGCATGGGAACCCTGCGTGCGGTTGATCCTGGAAAGCCAGAAAGATTGAGGCATCCGTGCCTGGCTTCCAACGAGCCTGCTGCGACCTGCTGCCTCGCCACGCCTTGTGACGGCCCACAATTGAAATATTCTGGCTTCGCACAGCAACGGGCAACGAGAGGCGAGTCGCGCCTGCTCGTGCCACCCGCCGCCTCCCGTGTGACCGGCCATACAATACGAAGACATCAAACATAGAGGTGCCGACATGTCCTGATATCCCACTGCGTAAACAGCATCCGCCAGCCAGTTCTACAGTTCTACACTGCGCGAGAAGGACGGCATAAAAAGAGAGAGTCACTAACTTGCTGTGTTGAACCCGGCAGCCGGCATCATCCAGCACCCTTTGGCGGCTACATGGTTTCGGCTCTGCACGGATCGTCATGCTCGCTGTCTGAACAGTTCTGAACCATAGCTAGCGCATTTGCTGACCCCTCTCATCTCGCCTGTGCAGACTCCTGTCCAGGATCTGTCCGATCTCTGCCAAAAGTGCCCGTCCACGTGAATGGAGTGCACAGCTGACCTGCCCAAAAGCACTGGTCGAGGTGTCGCGTCAAGGTAAGCCCTTCCATTTCTTCTGGGACCTATCAAGAGGCTACTAAGCGGAAGATCAACTGACACTGCAAGGCACGCCTCTCACATAGAAGATGACTATACCGCAACCCGACACATGTCTCATCGGCGCATTTGCGAGGCTACGCCTTCATTGGCGAGGCACCTCGAGGAAGGCAAAGGCCCAGAAGAAACCCAAAAGCCCCATGGAGAACTCCAGCAGTTCCTGGCGAACTCCAGGCTCCGGTTCCAAGTCTCAGGTCACGCCTGCACTTCAGGAGCTTTGGGTTTCTTTCCATTGGATGCTGGAGCGGTTCCCGACACACTCCATATTCATGCCCCGGTCGGACACATGAGCTGACGTGGCCAAGACAACCTCGCATTTCAGCCACATCCCATCACGGCGTAGCTCCTTCTCCGAATGGTCCGACGAGTCGAAGCGGCTGATGAGACTTCCGACTTGAACCTGTCCGCAAAAACCAAGGACTCCAAAGAAGTGCTGCTGCATCCTCTGGCGTTTCTTTTGGAAGGAGGGACGGGGGGAGTCCAGCGAATCTGAAAGGATCCACAGCTTCGCGCAAAATGCTCGCAGCAATGTGGCTGGGATGTGACTCCAAAGCTTAGTTCCAGGACAACACCCTGAAACCTCATGACAGCCCCCAATCGCTTCCACGAGCATCGCGACTCTACTGCTGCCCTTTGACCCGGCCTCAACTGAGCTGAGCAACTCTTGGCCTCCCACGGCTGCTAAGTTTAAAGCTGAAGACGGGTGATTTCAGCTCGTCCCTCCTCCCTATGCGCCGAACATGAGGCCTGTGGCGCTCGAGTTTGTCAGCGACCAACCTGCAGGCAAATGTTTCTTCTTTGGCGGCTCGTGACGGCATGGCCTGGAAGCAAACTTCACTCGCATATTCATGTGTCAAGAGCTGCGCAGAAAGAGCAAGCAAGTCCTACGGTGTCTCATCACCTGGTGACTCGCCTCTGCCTCAAGAGAGCATGATGCCCGCTGCCTGTGTTGGCGAGGGACTGACAGGCAAACTCGCTGATAACCTAACCAGGCAGCGCACATCTGGCTTTGGGAAGCTTCCTCTGTCAAGGTAACCTCCGTGGCCCTCTTCGATGAAGCATCGATCACAGGGCTGCCCCCAACCACAGGCCTGGACGGGACAAATGCAGGCCTGGAGCAGAGCCGCAACGTGTCAAAGTCTACGCTGAGATGCCGGCACGCCGTATGCTTGCATGGTGTTTGCACCTCGGGAAGAAACGGAGCAGCTCCAAGGGGCGCAGGGGTGTCGCGCAGGCCATCGGCTCCGCAGGGCTTGGCAGCAACATCTCGTCTTGCCCACACTAATGAAGCCGGTCACTGGGCCTGGCGCAATTCTGCGGATCATGCTCCCGGCAGCGTCGGAGCGCTTGCTGGCCAAGGCGTTCCATGAGCTCCTCTGCGTCCCGCAGGGAGACGTTTATGCACTGGCATCCTCATTCGACGCTTACGGGATGGAAAGCATCCAGAACTGCTTCTCCAGGTGCAAGGCTCACTTTTGCGAACATGCGCGACCAGAGAGGTGGGTCGACGCCGCTTGATGAAATTCTGCCAGGAGAGACCTGCCCGAGATGTGAGGTTGGGGCGGCTTCGGAACATCTCGGCTCACGGCTCACTAGTGGGGTGTCGGTTTTTTAGCTGCTCGGTACGTGAGCTCGGTGAATTTTCTGTCAATGCGAAATCTTCAAAGGCAGCAAAGCTGAAGAGAGCAGCGGCAAGGAGGACGATTGCCAGCTTCAGTAAGCAAAAGGAGCACAACGAAGGCGCCAACAAGTCCTCAGAATCCAAGCCAGCAAACAGAACGACTTCAGTAACTCGAAGAGCGAACTGACAAAGAAACAGTGTGGAAGCGAAAGTACAGCGAGGAACCACGCAGGAGGTTAAAGAAAATAGACAACCCGGCTTTAAGTACAGCCGCAGGCGACGAGCCGAGACACAAACCGAGGAAAAGGATGCTTGAAACACGTCACAACCCAACCAAACAGGAGCTGATGGCATTTTCGTGGTAGTCCAGGCAGGTAAGGTAGTCCACGAGACAGTTTGCTGCTCATGGTATCTCTGCACCAACATTCTGTGCACATGATAACTGCAGAAAGTCCATGATTCGGTCCGCAAACAGAAAAGACCACCTCTGGAGAAGATCTGACCAAACTTTTCAGACACTGCAAGGGCATGCTGGGCAAAGGCTCCCTGCCCCCAGTCCCCAGTCTCAGCGGTAAATGTCTCGCGAAGCGCCAGAAAAGCTCTATCTGAGGCCTCGCTTCAGGCACGGCCATGTTGTCGATGCTCGGCGCAGCCTGGAGCAGCCAACGGCGCAGGAAGGCTAAACAGAGGCAGCACCAGGTCCTTGGAATGCGTAAGGCGAGGCCTCAGAGCCTCAGAGCGCTTGCTTGCGCTACCGGCAGCACCCTCCCTTAATTGTTGCAACATGTCTGGGAAGTACAATGAGTGTTAAAGGTTTAGCCTTTAAACCCCCGGCATATCATAGCGCCGTGTCCATATTCCGATTGCCGAATTTGACCTCTCCTTTGCAGCTTGCTTCAACATGCCTGCTCGGTTGCGAATTCGCCAAATTGCCAAATGCACATAGCAGATCCTGCTTCGATCCTTTTTCGCGAGACAGGGTCACCTGCTCAGGGTCTCTGGGCTTGGCGGCTGTTTGCAAAGAGCTCTTCACATGCAGCTGCAGAACAATAGCTGCAAGTTCATAAGCTCGAAGCAATCGAAGGAAAACATCGCTACGACGACTTGCCATCACCCAAGTTGGCTTGCCAGGTTGGCTTCTAGCTCTGTAGTAATTGCGGTGCTCACGAGTCCGTCTAATCCCGTCTAAACAGAAAGACGTGCGCAGAAACGTAGGAGCGGGTTCATACGGACTCCTGAGCAGTGAATTCTCAATAACGACCGGGCAGCTGAATCTTGCTCTCTTCCCCTCATCAGCTTGCTCGTCAGGGGCTAAACTCATGTCTGCACCGTAGTCCGTGGGGCGTCCATAGTGCAACATGCATCACATCATAAACTCTCTTGTCAATGTGCTGCTAGATAGACACCACTCTCCTTAATCAGCTTGGACCTTGACAGACAGCTTCGACACCGGTGAACCCTGCGAAACTTGACAAATGACATTGGGTAATATGACGGACATGCACTTCCCGGAAGAGGTCCAAAAGATTCGATCCGCCGTGCTGCCAGTCGATTTTCAGTTGTATCAACTAACTTACAGACTCGCACCGCACGAGGTCAGGGTTTTCTGCCATTCTTGGCAGCACCCGACTTGCCTCGCTGGTTAGGGCACACCCTAACTTGGCAAAATGACACGCCGATATGTCCACAGCGTTTGCCACAACCGAAGCAATTATGCAGCGGGCATGGTGCCTGGCCAGGGACATCAGTGTGATATACCACAGGATCCAGAGGATCACAGGATGTGATGGCAAAGTGTCTTGGCTGGGGCAGGTACCGTTGGCAGCATGCAGCTTCGGCCGTCGAAAAGCAGCTCAGAAACTGCATGTTTCGTCGTCGGTGCCAGGTCCTCCCAAATCCTTGAGATCTCGAGAGGCCCCTTCAAAAAGGAAATCCTTGCAACCTAATGCACGCGTGCTGGTGCATAAGGGGAAAATGACAGTGGTGTCAGAAGTCTTCTTCCAGGGTGCCTGCAGGGCTGCTTTGTTGAGAGTATCTCCTTGTTGCCCTGCTGCTTTGGAAGCGAGCGGGAAGGCTGCAAGTCATGCAAGCACCAACACTGCGAGTCGAGGAACCGACGCGGGGGAGGCTGAAATCGAGTTTAAAGGTGTCACTGTGGGACCGCTTGCAGTGCAATGTTGTTACATTCCTGGCCTGGGAGGGGGAACCAGTCAATCAATGTCCCAGCGCTTGGTGGTGTCTGACCTGGGCAGAAAGCCCGTTTCCCTGACAGTGGACTAGATGCCTTTGCATGATCAATGTCAACGAAGGAAATGCTTAACGGCCACATGTGCGGAAGGGCATCAGATCCCGAAGGCTAAGCCTACGCTTGCCAAAGCTATGAAGTCACAGCAGGCCGAGTCATCGCTGGGTCGGCCACGTGTCTTAGCCGGCGGGCTTGAAACAAGTGGGGGCCTCGCGCAAGAAGCTGAGTCTCCACGGTCCCGCCCGACAAGCCAGCACGGGGTTGGAAACACACTGGACCAGACTGCTCCCGATGATGTAATTGTGTTTTGGTCATGCAGGGCCTGAGCAAAGGACGCCAGTGCAACAGACGCTCTCTCACTTCTGACTTCTGCTGAGTGATTGTAGCGCATGGAGTACAGCCATCTCCCAGGACTTTGTCAGCACTGAACATTATGCCCTCCAACTGGCGGGACGGTGCAGAGCCCAGCAAGAACAAGCCCTGATCTACATCGTACGTGCTCAGAAGGTGATGCTTTCACAATCTGAGCTACGATCGGTCCCTAGATGAGCCTATCATGTTTGGCTTTCCTTATCGTTTACAGGACTGTATGCACACATGAATGTAGTACCAGGGGCGCTCTTGGAAACATACAGAGCTGATCAATTTACACGAAAATGGACGACAAAAGCAACAGTAGCAGTAACAGCAGCAGGAGCAAGGGCAGAAGCAGGAGCAGTAGCAGCAGAAGCAGCTGCAGCAGCAGCAGCAGCAGCTGTAGGAGCAGACGAGGTCGCAGTGCTAGCAGTACAAGCAGTACTAAGAGTAGTAGCAGTAGTAGCAGGAGTAGCAAGAGTAGCAGTAGTAGCAGTAGGAGAAAAGGAAGTAGTAGAGGAAGTAGTAGTAGTAGTAGTAGTAGTAGTACTAGTCGTACTAGTCGTGCTAGGAGTACTAGTACTAGAAGTACTAGTAGTAGTAGTCGTCGTCGTGGTGGTGGTGGTGGTGGTAGTAGTAGTAGTAGTAGTAATAGTATTAGTAGTAGCAGTAGCAGTAGTAGTAGTGGTAGTGGTAGTGGTAGTGGTAGTGGTAGTGGTAGTGGTAGTGGTAGTGGTAGTGGTAGTGGTTTTTAGTAGTAGTAGTAGTAGTAGTAGTCGTAGTAGCAGTAGCAGTAGCAGTAGCAGTAGTGGTAGTGGTAGTGGTAGTGGTAGTGGTTAGTAGTAGTAGTAGTAGTAGTAGTAGCAGCAGTAGTAGTAGTGGTAGTGGTAGTGGTAGGAGTAGTAGTAGCAGTAGTAGTAGTAGTAGTAGTAGTAGGAGGAGGAGGAGGAGGACTAGTTGTAGCAGTGTGCACAGGTCTTGAAGCTGGGCATCGATTTGTTTCCTGTGTCACTCACTCACAAAGCTAAGGAACATTGACCAAACCAAGGACATCCTGTGGAGATGTTCGGGGTTGGACATTCCCTGAAACCCTTCCAAACTCAGCAGTCATTACGCGGATCAATGCACCAATATCTTGAACGCAGCACCACGCTCTATAGGGTTTTGCTACGTGTCTAATCATATCTGTCGGGTTCACTGCTCAATGCCTCACCACTTGTGATACCGGCACAGGTGCCAAAGCGTAGTCAAACCTGGCATGAGCGAATTTTGCACACTCCTGCACAGCTCGCAGGCTCCACATGCTGTTGAACGACACGCCCATTCTGTCTGGAAGAAGAGCCGGTTTGACATGCTACAAACACGTCCGCACACGCGCCTGCCGGATCCTTTATTCCTGCTGAAGCTCCGGATGGATTGAAGCGTGCCTTCGCAACGCACGTGAAGCAGCTTATATCAACTTATATCAATATCATTGGTTCATGGCACAGACTGGCGTCGACGTGCCCTGATCAGCAGTTTATGCCGACAGTGGACTCACGTGAGGACATGAATGCTCAAAAAAGCTCCTAGGCGCCTTGTCAGCAGGTGGCCTTTCGTAAACAGGCTTGAACATGATGCTTCATGAGCTTTGCTGTAAGAAATAACCAGTGTCCCAGTTTCCTTCCCACCGGGGCCTTCTCCAAAGTCCAGACTCGGAGGGGTCCCATGGCTTCGCGGCCGTGCTGGAGTTGCAGCTGCCTCACGCTCGGCTAGGGGTGAGATTTTGTCTACTACTACCGCCACCCACACGACTACGACCACTACTTCTACTCCTGCTACTACCACTACCGCTGCTGCTACTGCCTCTGCTAGTAGTAATGCTACAACTGCTGCTGGTATGAATACTGTTACTAGTACAAATACTAGCACTACTACTACTACTACTACTACTAACTATTTCGATGAGTCATGGTTAGTCTTAGTATTAACAATCAACACTAATGCCAGTACAAGTACTAGTACTACCGATGGTACAAGTATTAGTACTCGCACTAGCACAAACACTAGTAGCACTGGCACTTGCTAGTGCTAGCACCAGAACGGCGACGACGACGACGACGACGACGACTACGACTACTACTACTACTACTACTACTATGATGCATT